CATAAGCCTTACTAATATCCATTTTAATAGCAATATCAGGTACTCTGCCTCTTTTCTTCCCTTTAAGACGATGGAAGACTTCATTTGAAATCGTTATACTATCTTGAATTTGTCTATTTGGTACAAAGGCAACCTGATTTGGGGAGACACTAGAACCCATCATTCCTTTCATCCTATTAGCCATTACTTTTGAAATCACCTTATACAAGAAATTACATAACGCTATCGGCCTAAACTGTGTGATAGACTTAGGTGCTATTTCTTTCGGGATGAGGACAACATTAGTGAGATTAATTTCCCTATTCATCTGACCCCTTTCAAAGAAACCCTTAACCATCTTAAAGACATCATGTCCCACAATATGTCAGAATCTATAAAAAAATATATGTAAGACCCGAACACGCGTGACTAATATATAATATTTTTCATAAGCATATTCACATATGACATGCATATGTAGGATTGACGATTAGTATTTAATTATGAGTAATGATATGAGACCTAAATTTGAACGATGAATATTTTAATATTTAGAGATAATTTTATAAAGAATGATTATAGGGAGAATTGTTTATTTAAAGTGTCAAAAATTAAATAAGAATGTTGACATGTGATATTATTTCATTATTTTATGTATCTTAGCGCATGTGAAATTAATCGGGTGACAAGCATGTGACATCAATTTATTATTATAAAAAAATAATAATAAAATAAAATATATTTGTATATACAAGGAGTGGTTAAGGGTCCAAGAGACGAATTTAATAGATTGTCAATAATTTGAATATACGTATAAACATGTTTATGTATAAATATGTATACAAGAAGAAAAAAAATGGGTACATACATATAATTGTATATATGTATGTATATAATAAATATGTGTAAAGAATGCATGTATAAACATATATAAACTAGGGAGTACATATGTATATATATATAATATAGAGTCATGATGATAGTTCCACTTAGCAAGACATGCCTTGCATGTAAAAAGAAAAAAGAAAAGAAAAAAAAAACAGAGAGTTATTGCATTTGGGATATTTCAGCTAGATCAAGAATCAAGAGGGAAAGAAGGAGAAAACCAAGGGAAGAAGAATGAAAGAAAAGAAAAGAAAAGAAGAAAACCAATTTGCTTTGTGTAAATTAATTCGAGTAGAGCGGTATTATTTATTAATACTCGAATAAGATTTTGAATAATGGGTGTCAGGTCCAAAAATAAGCGCTGTAAAAAACGNTAATATAGAGTCATGATGATAGTTCCACTTAGCAAGACATGCCTTGCATGTAAAAACAAAAAAAAGAAAAGAAAAAAGAACAGAGAGTTATTGCATTTGGGATATTTCAGCTAGATCAAGAATCAAGAGGGAAAGAAGAAGAAAACCAAGGGAAGAAGAATGAACGAAAAGAAAAGAAAAGAAGAAAACCAATTTGCTTTGTGTAAATTAATTCGAGTAAAGCGGTATTATTTATTAATACTCGAATAAGATTTTGAATAATGGGTGTCAGGTCCAAAAATAAGCGCTGTAAAAAACGCTGCTCAAAAAGCTCTGACAGAGGACTTATCAACACGATAAATTTTCAACAAGGTATGTATGTACGCTAACATTTAGTTTTATCTACATGTAAAAGTTATATTTTTTTTTCTATGTGACTATCTAGCTTATGAGTTGTATTGTGAATAAATGGCTTAAGTGTTCTAATGTTACGATGAGAATAAGATATCTTCATAACAGATTATAATATTATGGTTTAATTATCTGTGTGACGAGTGAAAAAGAAAACCAAATGGTTGAGATGATAAAAGATCGGATGTCTAAGTGACGTATTTTATTTGCATAGTGAATACGTTAGAGGGATGAAAGCAAATTGTTAGATTGTGATGTCTGCATGATTAAAAGTAATTCAAGTGTTTAAGTTTGTCCTCGTGACTGAAATAAGGTAAAACTGATTTCATCTAAGTAACGGAAGCTAAATTTTTTATGTGATGTGAGTTGTTCAAAAAAAAAAATATCGAGAAAAGGNGAGTGAAAAAGAAAACCAAATGGTTGAGATGATAAAAAAATCGGATGTCTAAGTGACGTATTTTATTTGCATAGTGAATACGTTAGAGGGATGAAAGCAAATTGTTAGACTGTGATGTCTGCATGATTAAAAGTAATTCAAATGTTTAAGTTTGTCCTCGTGACTGAAATAAGGTAAAACTGATTTCATCTAAGTAACGGAAGCTAAATTTTTTTATGTGATGTGAGTTGTTCAAAAAGAAAATATCGAGAAAATGNTTTGTCCTCGTGACTGAAATAAGGTAAAACTGATTTCATCTAAGTAACGGAAGCTAAATTTTTTATGTGATGTGAGTTGTTCAAAAAAAAAAATATCGAGAAAATGATACATTTTGTTAAGTTGTCTGTGTGACGATCGTATACTGATATGGTAATAAACTTGTGTGATGTTTTGTCACTTGGGTGACAAGACAGTTATTTCTGTGTGAAATCATAGCGCAAGTAAATAGAATTTCGAAAAAAATTATGAAACCACGAATATTATTGTGTGGTGTTTTGTCGCTTGGGTGGCAAAATGGTTATTTTTGTGTGAAACTGTAGCACAATTAAATAGAATTTTGAGAAAAGATATGAAAACACAAATATTAAAATTTCATAAATGAGCAAGAACATCACATTACTTTCTTTGCTCTATCTTTGAAATTATTAATGAGAACTCACTGAAATTTGTTTGAAAACTTTTCAGGNAAAAGATATGAAAACACAAATATTAAAATTTCATAAATGAGCAAGAACATCACATTACTTTCTTCGCTCTATCTTTGAAATTATTAATGAGAACTCACTGAAATTTGTTTAAAAACTTTTCAAGCAAATTGTACACAAGTTTGCAGTCCACTGTCGCAGCTAGAAGTCCAGTCAGGAGGGTCAAGAAAGGCTCGTGTCAATTTCTTATGTCTTTAAAAAAAATAAACTTTTTGGGTTATATATGATGTCAATATTTTGGTTTTGTCATGTAAGCAACACTTGTCAATATTTTTACGATATATATTCTAAATGATAGTAGGTTTGTGTGCCAAGTTTTTTTTAAATGTCACATTATAATGTTTTATTTATAACGGGATTGCCTAAATTTTATTTTTATAATAATAGTATAGTAAAATTGGGGTGTTACAATATATCCGAGAATCCATCTGGTCTAGGAGTTTTTAAGGCACCCAACTCCCTCACTGTATCCTGCTCTTCTTTCACAGAAATAGTCCTCAACAGTTCAAGGTTCATCTCCTCAGTAACCTTGTTTTGCACCGCCCTCAGAGCTTTGAACCAATCTCTCTCTCCCACTGTGTTGAACAGATTCTGGAAGTAATCTCTGATATGAGAGTTAATCTCCTCCTCCTCTTCAAGCCACTCAGCCCCATCAGCTTTGAGCTTGAGAATCTGATTACGGCTCCATCTCTGGATGGTAGACAGGTGGAAAAATCTTGTGTTCTGGTGTCCATCTTTCAACCAATTACTCCTAGATCGCTGCAGTCAATACTTTTCTTCTCTACATCTAACAACATCAATTTGGAAGCACAGCTCTGCTTCCTTAATCAAATTCTCCTCTGAAGGTTCCTACTTCTAGACTTGGATTAATTCATTGTTCAACATGTGGATAATCTTCTTATTGTTCCCAAACATTTGCTTGCTCCAATCTAACAAATGTCATCATCTCTTCGCACTTTGAATCATCCAACCACATACACTCAAACTTAAAGGTGTGAGGGACCTTCTTTAACTTTAAGCCCAGATTAATCACAACTGGGCAGTGATCAGACCATATCCTAGCTTCATGTATCACTGATGTGGAAGGGAAGAGAGCTCTGCAGTCGGGATTCACTAGAATTCTAGCAATACGTTCTTGCACATTAACTTGGTAATAGATGTTTTGATTGATCCAATGCACGTNCTTTAAGCCCAGATTAATCACAACTGGGCAGTGATCAGACCATATCCTAGCTTCATGTATCACCGATGTGGAAGGGAAGAGAGCTCTGCAGTCGGGATTCACTAGAATTCTATCAATACGTTCTTGCACATTAACTTGGTAATAGATGTTTTGATTGATCCAATGCACGTATTCACATAGCAATTATTAATCTAAAAGACATGCGTTTGGAACAGGAACCAGCGGCCTCTTGTGAGCTAATTACGTGCCATGCACTTACCCAAATTAAATTCCATGTGCTTGGGATCTTAGGCACAAGTACAGTCACCTAGTTGACTTAATGTGGCACCTNGTTTTGATTGATCCAATGCACATATTCACATAGCAATTATTAATCTAAAAGACATGCGTTTGGAACAGGAACCAGCGGCCTCTTGTGAGCTAATTACGTGCCATGCACATACCCAAATTAAATTCCATGTGCTTGGGATCTTAGGCACAAGTACAGTCACCTAGTTGACTTAATGTGGCACCTACCCTTTGTCGTGCTCATTAGATATATTTTTCTTTACACAAAAATATGAATGAAATAGGATGAATTGAGAGAGTATTTCAATAACAATTATCTCATCTAAGAACTGTCATTCATGAACTATTTCTCTTGCTAAGAATAGTGATTCTAGTTAAGTCTTTCGGACGATGATTTTAAAAAAAATATATCAATAAGATCACAATGAAATAGAATACAATTATCTTACTTACCCAAAAGAAAGAAATAGAATAAAGTTGAGGATACATGGATGCCAATAAAAAAAATTACATAATTAATATGCAAAGCAACACACAACACAATCACTTGAACAGACCATCGAAGGAGGATTGCACGGGCAATATGAGACAGATACATATAGAAATTCTCTATTGATCAGCTTAAAGTTTTAAATGCATTAGGAATAAATATTATTCACGAGATATGATTGTTGTTTGCTGAGAAAGAGGAGCTGNATGCATTAGGAATAAATATTATTCACGAGATATGATTGTTGTTTGCTGAGAAAGAAAAGGAACCCTCAACGTTGCTTTCGCCGCTTAATACCAATAAACCTGAAGTTTTGAAGTCCTAATACTAATGATTTACAAATTAAAAAAAAGTCATAGTACAATGATAATGTCTCATTGGAGAGTTTTTTTCTATTTAAACACTAAAATTTGATTCCATACTGATGATTGCAAGTTTAGACATAACATGAAAGCAATGGACAATTGAAAACGATAGATAAAGCATATCTTAGCGTGGAGAATTTGGCTATTATCTTTTAGCATATTTTACACAATCGTTAAAAAAGCTTGACATAAAAACATCGTGTCCATGCAAAATCCAACCAAAGTCACATCCAAGACAAAACAAAACAAACTAAAGTTGATGCCATTAATAAATAAATCATATCATCTAATTGACATAACTCAAAAGCCCCAAACAAAGCCATAAAAACAGCACGAAATTACTGCGACCAAACAAAGACCCCCAAGATCTGGACGTACAAGGGCTATATGCCCAAACTTAATTTATTCCAAAACTCCAAAAACCATTAAAAAAAAAAGACTTGAAATAGTAGACAATCTCGTTGCCTCCGGACAAACCACACAAGGACAAGCCACCGCAGCACCGCCAAATACCTACTTCAGCTTCTTCCTCCGCCACCTACTTCCAGCAACTCAGTACAGACTTGGGTGAGCTGACTGTACCCCCCTTCTCATTCACTGTAAAACACCGGTACACGATACACCCGCCATTTGACAATTTCTGTTTCACCCCAGTTTGACACATGTATCCCTCCACGTCACCGGCCCACAATCCTTGGGGCCCGCCAGCACCTCCTCCAAAACACGTGATAGCCACGCTGAATTCAGCTGGTTCGAAGCACTTCAACACCCTCTTGACCAATGGCTCGAACCCAATTGACCCTGTGTCAAACCCCATGGCCTCGTAGCTAGCATAGCTGAACCCATCCTCCGGTGTCACGTGCACCGTAGAGTAAGCAAGGCCATCAATTCCATTCATAGAGTACCCACAAGGGTCAAATTCAAAGTCGCATATCTCGTGACTGGGAATTATCTCAGATATACCGGACTTTTTAGTCATTTCACCATCGGCCGAGTAGTATTCCTCCGAGTTTTTGAAGAACAATGCCGCTTTTTTCCTGTCTAAACCCGTCATACACATTTCAAGAGTCACCACAGCCGTTGGATCGTCAATCAATGATGGTCGAGGTGGGACCACAGATGCCACGTAGACATGCCAGTTACGATTCGGAAAGTTCGGATCGCCGAGCATATAAGCGTTCCCACCGGAGGGTAAGTTTCCAAAGAACGAATTGAGGAACACCACCTCTTCTGAGAAGCTCCGGTGAGGAGCAGGTTGGGCATTTTGAAAAATGAAGGTCCCACGAGAATACTTAACCGAGTTGACACCGAGTGAGAGCGACTCAGCGAGTTCAAGAATTACTGGAATGGACAAAAGAAGCTTGGTAGTCCCACAGGTTTTCAGAACAATCTTACGAGGGTAAACGAACAGACTTGACTCAGAGAGTACGTATGAGTCAAACTCAGTGTTGGAAAGCTGAGAGACAATTGTGCAACAAGCGGGTTCGAGGATCGAGTCGAGTTGGGACCGAGTCAAGGCTCGGAGGCCCAACCCATTTGGGTCGATAAACAGAGGTGGTTCAGAGAATGTTATTTCAAGGCGTTTTTCAAAGCCCTCAAACCCAATTGGTGAAACAGCCATGGTGTAGAGAGAGAGAGAGATTGAGATATCCACACAGAGAGAGAGAGAGAGAGATCAAGAACACAGTCTAACAGAGATATAAGAGTAATAGATTGAATCAAAAATAGAGAGACAAAAGGAGAGAAGATTGGGGAANACGAACAGACTTGACTCAGAGAGTACGTATGAGTCAAACTCAGTGTTGGAAAGCTGAGAGACAATTGTGCAACAAGCGGGTTCGAGGATCGAGTCGAGTTGGGACCGAGTCAAGGCTCGGAGGCCCAACCCATTTGGGTCGATAAACAGAGGTGGTTCAGAGAATGTTATTTCAAGGCGTTTTTCAAAGCCCTCAAACCCAATTGGTGAAACAGCCATGGTGTAGAGAGAGAGAGAGATTGAGATATCCACACAGAGAGAGAGAGAGAGATCAAGAACACAGTCTAACAGAGATATAAGAGTAATAGATTGAATCAAAAATAGAGAAACAAAAGGAGAGAAGATTGGGGAATCCTACTCTACTGAGGCGTCCATTGAATGTGGAAATATCAGGATGGCTTCCTCACACACTGCAAAATTTCCAAAAAAAAATGCAAAAGAAAAAAAAATCAGAACCAAAAGGGTATATAGTTAACAGAAAATTTATGAAGGATTTGAATGCGTATTTGTATTTGGGAAATCTTACGTTGGAGTAAGCAGCAGAACGAAATTTTTCAATGCCACCGTTGGGACGAACGTCTTCAATGATGTAACCGAGAGGGGCTTCGTACTGGATGGAGTTACTACTACTGGAAGATTTCTTTTTGCCACCTTTGGTCTCCATTACAACATCTACCCTATCTGCAAGCAATAACCACAAAAATAAACACAGAAATTTTAGCAAAAACCAATCAAGATCTGATATATATATACACGTGTGTGTGGGTGTGTGAATTTGTATGGTGAGCAACTGAGCAGCATACTAATTCGAACGTGAAGATTTGCTGTTACATATCCATGGCACAAGTGGTGTTATGAGCACATGAAGATTTCAATGCATTGAACCAGAATCGCACATACAGATTTATAGATACATATCCAATGGCTTACATTAAAAATTAAAACCCACCACCCCACCAGTTCAAAAAACATTAACAATCCAACCACTAGGAAAAAGGAACGATTCCAGCAAACAGAATCAAATCGCAATCAAAGAAAACCCAGGGATTCAAATCAAAGGACCTTAAAAAAACATAAATATAGGAATCAAGAATACATCAAAAGAAACCCAAGAATCATCAATCATTCCAACTGCTGAATTCTTCACTACGACTCTATCCTGATCTCAAATCTCAATATCACAGACCGATGTTTATTAAGCAAACACATATAAAACTGAATCAAAAACGAGAAACCCATTAATACTTACGTTTCTATGGAAGAATATAGCGGCAGAGAATATATTGTAAATCCAAGAACCCTGATTCTTTTTGTTTTTTCCTAGAACAAGAGAACTTGTAATCTTTTTTCCTCGAACAAGAGAGATTGCAAAGAGAACAAGATTGAGGGTGTAAAACCAAGAGAGGGACAAGTACAAGAACAAAAACAATATAAAGAGAGAGAGGCCGAGCGAGAGGTTTTGTGTGAGGGAGGATAGAACGGAAGGAGAGTATTTATAGATGGAAGAACCCAAGGGCTCTCGAAGCGAGGTAGGGCTGCTTTGGTGCGTGACCGTAGGAATATGGGAAAGGAGTGCTCTTAGTAAATATCTGGAAAAAACTATGTAGGGCATATCTTGTTTTGATTATGTTATTTGGGATTGTGTTGATCTCTAATTAGTTTAATTTATAATTAAAAAAAATATTTATGCTCAATTTGAGATTTAATTTGATGATATAATTGAACTGCAATTATTGAATTAAAANTCTTAGTAAATATCTGGAAAAAACTATGTAGGGCATATCTTGTTTTGATTATGTTATTTGGGATTGTGTTGATCTCTAATTAGTTTAATTTATAATTAAAAAAAATATTTATGCTCAATTTGAGATTTAATTTGATGATATAATTGAACTATAAATTAAGTCTCTAATTAGGTTTTATACCATTATTCTTTTACAATTATTTAAGATGTTTTGACATTAATTCAACTTCTTAAATATTTATTTATGTTACGTTGGAATTGATATGCTTGACTTGGGAATCAAAAATAAATTNTAATTCAACTTCTTAAATATTTATTTATGTTACGTTGGAATTGATATGCTTGACTTGTGAATCAAAAATAAATTTAAANCTTTTACAATTATTTAAGATGTTTTGACATTAATTCAACTTCTTAAATATTTATTTATGTTACGTTGGAATTGATATGCTTGACTTGGGAATCAAAAATAAATTAAAAAAAAAAACATGATTCAATTTTCTTTTTACCAAAATCTGGGTCTCTAATGCTAACAAAACAAAATAAAAACTTTTAATTTTATAATAATAATTCAAACTATAGGAATCAATAAAGAAAACAATAGAATGGAGCATTTTCTTAATTAAAAATAATAATTAATCTAGTTTGACACTAATTTAAATTATTTATTATTCATGTTAATAGGTAGATAATTATTCGTCGTCTTTGCATTAATTGATACCTCATTAATTATTTTGATTAGTACACTCGCTATATTTGCTTCTCCCCGTGGTTGGTCTAGTATCAAAAATATTGTATTTTTTAGTACATTATGATGGATTGAATTAATTTTTTTAGTGAGTATCCTTAATTCTCTAATTCANTTAATTAAAAATAATAATTAATCTAGTTTGACACTAATTTAAATTATTTATTATTCGTGTTAATAGGTAGATAATTATTCGTCGTCTTTGCATTAATTGATACCTCATTAATTTTTTTGATTAGTACACTCGCTATATTTGCTTCTCCCCGTGGTCGGTCTAGTATCAAAAATATTGTATTTTTTAGTACATTATGATGGATTGAATTAATTTTTTTAGTGAGTATCCTTAATTCTCTAATTCAATTAATTTTTTTAGTGGGAATCCTTAATTCTCTAATTCAAGACGAAAATTAATTGATTTTAAGTTTTAACCTATTAATTTTGTGTCCTTTATTTACCACACTTAATTTGGAATGTAGGGAACTAATAATAAACTCATACATATGGATAAACTGTAATATTAAAAATTGAGCATTGATTGTTAGTATTTATATTTTGAATAAGAGATGGGTAAGGACCAGAGAAAAGAAAGTGGTAGGTGTTTGATTATTAACTTTACATGACATTGGAGATGATTAAATTCTTTTATATTGAGAGCTTTGTCAAGAAAATGATGTTTTTGGATGAATTTTTTTTTTAAATAGTAGGTTAAAAGTTTTTAAAATATTTTTTTTATCATTAAATAAAATTAGATGAAATATAAAATAATATAAATCGTTTTTGTGTTTTTTATAAATTTATAATTTGAATTCTCAATTACTATATAATATAATCGATGCAAATTTGAACAACATGTGAAAAAAAAAAGATTTTAGAAAAACTCTGGAAATACTGAAATTGTTTGTCATCCGGTTTTTCCTAAGCAACCACGTGTCAATGTTAGAGATTCTGTTCTCGGAGGCACGTGTGGATCTGCGCTGCGAAAACTTGATAGGTCTAATTTTATCCACTTGCCAAAAAGGAGCGTGACTTATACGATTAAACGGCGTTCCACATGTTGATTCCTTTACAGTGACGCGCTTCCGGGTGTGAATTCACTGTGCCGCGTTTGGAGAAAAAAGCATTAATTGAACTCTTTTTCCTTAATTACAGTAATTATGTCGGCTAAAAATAATTAGATTCCTCTTAGTAGGAATTATGCTAATAAGTGTCCTTAGGATAAAGATGCATTTAATAGTGCATTCATTAACGTATCTTGATTTATGTATGATTCGATCTTATTAAACTTATAGTATTTATTACCAACAACATTCATTTATCATTATTATTTTTTTTTTGGATTTAATGTAAAGTTCTCGTCAGAATTATGTTCCGTTTGGTATAATGAAAAAATAAAATGATAAAAAATTTGAGGGATAAATAAAATATTATATTTGGTAAGGAAAGATAATAAGAAAGATGGAAAAGTGGATGGATTAATTTTCCTTCCAACTCACCAAAATCAATTCCTCCAAAATCAGAAGGAAAGTGGATTAAAAGTTAAGTATTTGTGTTGAGATGTATCTTATTTGTCTATATATTATGTATACATTAATTTCATATAAAAATACAATGATAAAATATATATTTATATAAATATTTTTTAAAAAAAATTAAAAATTAAAAATTAAAACAAAAATATTTTTTTCATCTTAAGTAGGGGTAAAAATTTTCAACTCAACACGATAACACGGCTTGAACTCGACACAAATTTTATAACATGAACTTAAATATAACTCGACACGAACTTAAAATTGACCTAACATGTGAACAAGAAATATAAAAGACTTATAATTTTATGACTTAACACGAATCTGACACAACACAAACTCGATTGTCACCTCTAATATTAGATAAAAAAAAAATTAAAAAAAATTGGTTATTTTTATTTTCTATCCATCCAACCAAACACAAAGGAAAGAAAGTGTATAATTCTTACTTTTCATCCTTGAAAAATAGAAAATGTATCCCTCTTATTTTTCATCTTTCCTACCAAACGGATCATTAGATTATTTACATTGAGTTGTGTTAAAATTCAAATTCTACATCTGATTTGTATTGTGCATAATTAAATTTTATAATATTAACTTTTCATAAATTTTAATTGTTTTAATGTCTGAAGATGATAGATTAGGTTAAGAATATTTATGCATATCTCAATAAAGATTTTGTTTTGTTTCTTGTCCAAAGAATTTTAAAAATAAAGCAAAAGATAAGGGCAAACACAATCAAAAATATTTTTTGTTTTTTAATGGAGATGGAAATAGAACTATATCGTCTTGTAATTATTACATTATAAAAAATAAAATGTTTGTGGCTCCAAAATAACAAAAGCTA